TGATGAATGTTATAAATGACAGGAGTACTTATATAAGGACACATGTGTTGCTAGTCTTTACCATGTGGTGGTCAGGAACACCTCTCTGAAGAAAGCCAGGGAGTCATGGTGACTAAATGGTCATTGAAGCTTGAAGCAGACTAGGGCAGGTCCTGAGCAGAACTTGGAGATGCTACACTTAGGTGTAGGAAGATGAGCTGAGCAAGGAGCCTTGGAAGAATTTACCAGAGAGGTGGGAAGGAAACAAGGAGAATGAAGCCAAGAGAACAAAGTGTTGAAAGAAGGGAGTGTTCAGCAGTGTGGCGATGGTTTGAATTTTGTGAAGATCATCATGCAAACGTGATGGTTTCTGCAGAGAAGGTGCAGAATTTTGTGAAGATCATCATGCAAACGTGATGGTTTCTGCAGAGAAGGTGCAGAATTTTGTGAAGATCTTCATGCAAACATGATGGTTTCTCTAGGTCAGCAGCCCCCAGCCCTGGCTGTACGTTGGAATTACACCTGCCAGTGCATCTGGCACTAATTAAACTAGAATAGCTGGGCTGGGTCCCAGGTATCTGTACGTAGTTTGCAGAGCTCCTCAGGTTCCCTTATGATGCAAGGCTGAGAACCACTGTGGTGATGCTGGGGAGAAGAGAGGAAAGGCTCAGTTACAGCAGTGGGTGGAAGGTGAGGAGCGGGGTTGGACTGGGATGTGATGTAGATGGACCAGATAGGACTTTGTGACCAATAGCATGTAGAAGGGGAGGGAGAGGAGGAATAGAACATTTATTGAGTGCATTATTGTCATGTACGCTGATCTGATTATTTGTGTTTTTGGTTTCAGATACTCCTTTTTTGTAGCAATGGGATACCTTACAATATGCCACATCAGCCGAATATACATCTTTCACTATGGAATTCTCACTACAGATTTTTCTGGGTGAGTATTTTAATTTGTGGGAGAGGGGAGGGTGTCGACTGCTGACTTTAACTCAGTCTCTTGGGGTCTGTAAGCATTGAGCATGTGCGTAAGAGTCAACAGTGGCTGGCTTAATCAGTTGGTGCTAATGAGGTGGAGGTTGAAGATTTGATTGTTCTGTAGGACTGTTAGCTCTGCTATGTTATAAGGCAGGGGTCCCAAGCTACAGCCCAAGGGCCATATCTGTCCCACTGCTGGTGTTCATACAGTTATATGGGACATGACAGACACTTACTCATTTAGGTATTTTCTGTGGCTGCTTTTGCACCACAAGATCAGAGTTGAGTAGTTGCAGCAGAAACCATAGGCCTGCAAAGCCTGAAATATTTATTCTGGTTCTTTACAGAAAAAGTTTGTCAACCCCTATTCTGAGGCCCTGAGCATAGGGTTGGTGTTCATCTCTTACTAGTTAATAATACAGAGACTCTATCATACTAGCAGATAAATAGCTGCTACCCTGACTCCAGTGAGTATTCCCTGTATGGCCCCTCCCCCCATGATCCCTTGACCTCCAGCTACTGGAAGGGTAATACATGGGACAGCAAGGGTCTCCATGTGAACTGTAGAAATTTTGTCTATCACCATGGCATTAACCTGGTGTGCCGCCCCTCTCCTGACCTGGTGAAGACTATGGATGGATCAGTGAAAATTCTGTGTTGTGGAGGTTAGTTCAGGAGCAACTTTGTATGAGTCTTGAGGAATAAACACCAAAACAGAGTCTTCCTGGTGACACGTGTCTATTTTCCACCTTACCTCCCTAGGAATTTGGTTCTGTTCCCTGCAGGCAGCCTGAGTCAGGGAGATCCTGAGATCCCCTCTCAGGCTGAATTGCATCTCAGTGAGTGAGTTGTTGGAGATCAGGCAATGAAATGAAGGGCTTCCAGCTCACAGCTCAAGCCTCTGAACTTTGCGAGCTGTGCAATGAACTGTCCCTCCACAAAAAGGTGCAAGGAGGCAAAACGGTGTTGTTTTGGGACACAGGGACTGTTGCATTGAACACTTCATGACCATAGTTTGCTTTCAGATTGGTTTTTCCTGCCTCAGTTTTTCTTACCCTCTGGCCTCTGGGGTTTTACCTGTTTCTCTTCCAGCTGTGTGTCCTCTCCCCGACATGGTGGCGCACAATTTATCGATTTTTCTGAAACAAGTTTACAAACTTTATTTCATTTTTTAGTGATATGTATTGCTAGTAAAATATGGAAAATATGGGAGCAATAAAAATAACAAAATAGCCAGGAAGTTATAGCATTAAAAGTAATATTTTTGTTTGTGTTTTTTTTTTGTCAGCTGGCTATTACGTGCATCCGAACCCTTGACCTTGGTATTACAAGGCCTTGCTCTAATCCACTGAGCTAACTGGCCAGCCCAAGTAATATTTAAATGTTTTGTCAGCTGGCTATTACGTGCATCCGAACCCTTGACCTTGGTATTACAAGGCCTTGCTCCAATCCACTGAGCTAACTGGCCAGCCCAAGTAATATTTAAATGGGGGTTATAGCTTCCCATAGTGATTAATCAACAAATTTCATTTTTTGGTTGTACCCCAGAGCCCCATCGTACTTAGAAGAGTTCTTGGCACTTCATAGATGTTCCATAAATGAATGAATTAAATAGTCCAGCATTTATCAGTCCTTTTTTCAATGTTTCTAGTATTAACCTAAAGGAAATAGGTTAGAGAAAAATATCTTCAAATACGTTGAATTCATTCGGGAGTAAAAATAGGATTATAATCTGGAATGCATACATACCATGCAAGTCACGAATGCATTTGGTGAGGGAAGGTAAGAAAAGGCTGTTATTGGCAAAAAGAGAGAGGTTCATGTAAGGTTCTTGGAAACAGAGTTCTTTGGTTTCGGAGGCTAAGTCTGATTTGTTGTCAGTTCGTTGGTTGAGATGCTGCTACTGGGCAGTTTCTTCTCTGAGCATCCTACCTAAATCACCGCAGTTCTAAAGAATGTCTGATGATGAACTTTGTCACGGAAACATGTGCATACATGCAAAGCGGGAGTTGCATGAAGGACATGAAAAACCTGAAAAAATTTCTGACAGGTTTTTAGAAGGTCCTTGGAAACAGTTCTTGTCTCAGACAAGCAAGCACGAACCTTCTTCATTGTGCCTTTCCTGGCTCTGTTTTGTCTGGATCTCACAGAAAGTGATTTCATCAGCTTCCACATCAGGAGACTCATACTTATTATTAAACAGCTCCTCCAGCCATATTTGGTTGGGGTATTAAACAAAAAACTTTGACTTCAGCACAAAGTACATTATTACCTGTTTCTTATCTATATCATTTTCTCTTTTTATGTCTGGAAGTGCACATTCATTCATCCATTCATTTCTGCAAAAATTTTTAAGTCCCCAATATGCTAGGCACAATGTCAGGTGCCAGAGACATTGTGCACGCTAGGTAGGAGGAAGGGTACTTATTCCAGGCAGAAGGAAAGGTTCTGCAAGAGCACAGAAATGTGAGACAGGTGCCTGTGGAGGTCCCAGAAGGCCATCTCCCTTCTCCTTACCACCTCCATCCCTGTGTCACCAGGCCCTATCAGTTCGGCAACCTGGCTGTCACTAGAATCCGTCTGGTGCCATTCATGCCCACTGCCACCACCCTGGACCAATGCGAGTCTGCCACACTTGCCTAACTGGCCATCCTCCCTCCACCCTGCCCCTTCTCTAGTCCATGCTCTTCATACCCATCACAACGAGGTTCTAAGATACAAAGCAGATAACATTTTGGACCTCCAAACTCTCTGCCTCGTCTCCTGCCATCTCCTGCTCCCGTTGTGCATTGCAGGAAAGTTTAGGGTCCACATACAAGCTAGGTCTGTTCATGCCTCTGTACCTGTGCCTTGCTCGTTCCCCTGGTCAGAAAGCCCTTTCCCATCCTTCTCAACCTGTACAGCTCTTCACTTTTTAAAACCCAGCTCAAAGATCACTTCTGTACAAAGTTTCCCTGATTGCCACCCCCTCTTTCCACCTGACCCTTCTATCCTCACAATCATGCATTTTGGGCCAAGGCCTCTCACCTGGCTTTCACTGGCTGGTGCCACCATTGCCTATCAGTCATACTCACTTTGTCCCTGTTGCATGGGGTGTTTGTAGCTGGTGGCCATGGCACTTACTTCCCTCATCAATGGTGTTGTATGCTTAGCTAGTGTCATGTGTGTTTATTCCCAAACTTGTTTATTCCGGTTGTACTTATGTATTAGTGTCAGGATTCTCCAGAGAAACAGAAACAATAGGAGATAGAACTAGATCTAGATATATAAGAGGGGATTTATTATGGGAATTGGCTCATGCAATTCTGGAGGCCAAAAAGACCCATAATCTGCTGTCTGCATGCTGTAGAATCAGGAAAGCAAGAGGTGTAATTTAGCCTGAGTCTGAAGGCCTGAGAACCAGAGGAGCCAATGATGTAACTCCTAATCTGAGGCTGAAGCCCTGATAACCTGGTTGCAGGGGTTGTGGAGGTTGCTGGTGTGATTCCAGAGTCTGAAGTCCCAAGAAACTGGAGCTCTGATGTGTAAGGGCAGGAGAAGATGCATGTTTCAGCTTAAGGAGAGAGAGTCAACCCTTCCTCTGCCTTTTTGTTCTATTTGGGCTCTCAACTGATTGAATGATGCCCACCCACATTGGTGAGGGCAGATTTTCTTTACTCAAGATATTGATTCGAATGCTTATCTCTTCCAGAAACACCTCACAAATACAGCTTTTACCAG